GCGCCGCGGCTCACTAGGCTAATCCTCTGCCTTGCGGCGCTGGCACACCAGGTTCTAGTGCCGGTCGGGGCGCCGGATTCTGTCCAGGTTGCCCCTCTTCCAGGCCAGCTCTCTGCTGTGGCCCGGGAGTGCAGTGGAGGATGGCCCAAGTGCCTGGGCCCTGCACCCCGTGGGAGACCAGGAGAAGCACCTGGCTCCTGCCACCGGATCAGCGTGGTGTGCCGGCCGCGTGACCATTGGAGGGTGAACCAACGGCAAAAGAAGACCTTCCTCTCTGTCTCTCTCACTGTCCACTCTGCCTATAAAAAAAAAAAAAGAAAGAAAGAAACCAGCCCTGTGCGAGCGGGCCGGCCTCTAGGAGCCTCCCATAAGGGAACTGGACACTGATTGGCGCCACAGTGTGCAGGACATGGGGCGGGCAGCGGGGCATCAACACACCTGGCGCACGCAGCAGGGCCTGAGCGAGACAGAAAACTCTGGAAACCACAACCTGGGGAAAACGCCGCAGGCCCATGGATGGTGAACTTGAGAAGGAAGGCTGAGCCGTCCCTGCTGCCCGTCAGCTCCGGCAAATCCACACACTCCACTGTACACATGGTGCCCAGGCCAAGAAGCGAGCGGTTCTCAGAGAGGCCAGAGTGTGGTCTGGGGCAGACGCCCACTGAGACACTGTGCTCTGGGTTCCCCGAGCTTCTCTGAAGACCCCTGAGACCACACCGCCTCCCCAGAACACAGGGCACCCCGCTTAGTTGCCAACAGAAGCGTAATGTGAGGAACCAGCCTGGCAACCTCAGAAGTGTATTCAATACAACAGACTCCGGAACAAATCGATCGTCGGCAAGAACTACCTACTCCCTGCGCGCTGACGGTGCTCTGGTCACACAGGAGACACAGCTGCTCTGCTGGCTCACTTCAGTCACTTCCAGTGAACTCTCCCCGCTGTCAGGAAGCCAAGGGGGGGGGGGTGAGGGGGCGGTATTTTAAGAGATGGGGGAGCCATGAATCCGGAGCTCCCAGTTCTGCAGCATTTCCTGTGCTAGGGTGCCGAGACTTCCGACCCAACTCCATAGTCCCACCTCGCCTACTCTCCACGCGGAGGGTGCCTGAGAGGCAGGGGAGGCGGCCCCGGGCCACACTGCTGACAGGCCGCCCGCTGCACAGCCCGAGCTGACCCAGACTGCTTTTGGTGGATTGTCCGGGAAACCTGGCGGAGGAGAGTGGTCTGGGATCCAGCAACAGGACACGGAGGAGACAAGGATGACGGGATCGGAGAGGCTCGGGGCCCTAGACTGAGCTTGCTGGGGTCCCAGGATCGTGGAAACAGCTGTACTTTACTTTTTTTTTTTTTTTTTTTTTTTGACAGGCAGAGTGGACAGTGAGAGAGAGAGACAGAGAGGAAGGTCTTCCTTTTGCCATTGGTCACCCTCCAATGGCCGCTGTGGCTGGCGCACCGCGCTGATCCGAAGGCAGGAGCCAGGTGCTTCTCCTGGTCTCCCATGGGGTGCAGGGCCCAAGCACTTGGGCCATCCTCCACTGCACTCCCGGGCCACAGCAGAGAGCTGGCCTGGAAGAGGGGCAACCAGGACAGAATCCGGTGCCCTGACCGGGACTAGAACCCGGTGTGCCGGCGCCGCAAGCGGAGGATTAGCCTAGTGAGCCGCAGCACCGGCCACAGCTGTACTTTTCAAACACTGCTCTCCTTCCGGTTGGACCTCTCCAGATATGTTGAGAGCGCGAAGGAAGAATGGCGGCGACAAAGGGCGTGGGGGAGGGGCCTACTGCTGAATGGCCACAGTGTTGGTTTTATCAGAGGAGGAATTAGAGACTGGGGTGGAGGCCAAGGAGGCAGAACAGGAACACACTCCAGATCACTGGGCGGTACACCCAACCATGACCAACTTCATGGTTTCTCCATCTCACCACCACCAGGCCAAAAAGAGAAAAAAATACGCTCAGAAGCCTAGAGAGGGGCCAGGCTTTGGTCCGACAAAGCTCCGAGGTCTCCGCCTTCCGGGACCCGGTTTCTGCCACCCCAATCCCTGCTTCACCCCCAGTCCCAGTCTCATGCTCAGGACTGTCGGGGTTTGTTGAGCCCACCCAAGGCTGCTGCCATTGCTAATGTAAGACTGGCATCACTTCCAAGGGCACATGAGAAACCGGAACCGAGACGGGCAGCTCAACGGCAGAGAAAGCCCACCATGCCCCACAGAGGGGCGGGGTCCGCAGCTGACTGCGCTCAGGGCCACCACGCAGCCCCTGGCTTTCTCACGCCGATGGCAACTTTACGCCTTGCTAGACAAGGCGCGCGCGCGCGCGTGTGTGTGTGGTATGTGTGCATTGTATGTGTGTGCGTTGTTCAGCACTGCTTTTGGGCAAGTGCACCGGTTAACAAACACAGGTACAAAATGCACATTTATTAACATCCATGCTCTCAGAGGACAACTGCCCACTGCAGGCTTGCTACTCCTTCTGCCGGTCACCAGGGGCTCAGAGTGAAGTTCTACCCAGGCTCGGGGGGAAATGGCTTCCCAGCCCCCTGACTAAGCAACGGAGGTCAGCTCCCCGCGGTGGTCGCTCTCCGGCGCTGTCCAGCACGGAGACGGTCGCTGATGCTGTGGAGGACCCGGCCCGCGAGCCCGTCACCTCACCCCGTCTCAGAGACACTGCCTGCTGAGGTAAAGGGTGCCGATGCCGGGGCGGCCAGCTTTCGCAGGGACCATGCCGCTCCCCACGAGGTCTTGTTCCCCAAACCAGACGCCAACACACAAACCCACCAACAGGTGAGAAAAACTGCCTTTAGGAAACTGAGCACCACTTCCGGTGTACTCTTAGGGACTGTGAAGCCAAGTGGAAAAGCGCCACAGCTGGAGGGGCTGCTCACGGGGGAGCTCTGCAGCAGGGAGCCTGAGCGATGGGAGGCTCCGGCAGCGCCGGGCGCACCTGCTAACGCTTCCATTTGCTTTCTGCCATCTGAAATGAGTAGCATCTGAAAAGGGTCCGCTTGTGGCCACTTTAAAGTCCCTCTTTTGCTCAAGGTGTTCCCAACTGTCAAAATCTGACAGGCACTTAAGAGTCTCACATCATGGAAGAACTGGCAAGCTGGTCTCAATAGAAGTTAAAAAATACATATACAGGGCACTGGCGCTGTGGCACAGCGGGTAAAGCCGCCGCCTACAGTGTCCGCATCCCATATGGGCACCGGTTCAAGTCCTGGCTGCTCCACTTCCGATCCAGCTCCCTGCTATGGCCTGGGAAAGCCGTGGAAGATGGCCCAAGTCCTTGGGCCCCTGCACCTGCAGGAGAGACTTGGAAGAAGCTCCTGGCTTCGGATGGGCCCAGCTCTGGCCATTGTGGCCATTTGCGGAGTGAACCAGTGGATGGAAGACCTCTCTCTCTCCCTCTCTGTAACTCTTTCAAATAAATGAATAAATTTTTTAAAAAATACACACAGAAGTGCACCGGTAGGCTCAGTGTAACATAACCATCCTACTGCAGTCTCAGGGCACCTAACATCTTGTATTACACTGAATCATTGTGAAATTTATTTTCCTGGGTACTTCTGACTGTTGACTGAAACTAGGGAAAACAACAACACCACCACAAAACTCTAGCTACTCAATTTCAAGATGACCTAAGTACAAATCTGACGTCAGGAAACCTCCCCCAAAGGCAATACATTTTACGTGCGACCCAACGTCTACTTGTGGGTTTTATTTTTTTTTTATTAGCAAATAAAATATTCTTTGAAATTCCAGGTGGCTCCACCTGCTCCACTTTCACCGGTCCCAAAAAAAAAAAAAAAAAAAAAAAAAAAAAACAAGCCTCGGATCCTTTCCCAAACCCAGGTCTTACAGGCGGCCGTTCTTCACCCAACAAAGACACTTTCTGGACAGCAACCCCGGAGGCCCGCCCCCCACCCCCCAGTGGGTACCACTGTGGTGTCATCCCGGGAAAGCCACTCTTACCCTGGGAGAACAGGGAGGCCGGGTGTGTCCTTGACGGACAGCAAGAGGCGTGGGCCGGGGGCTGGGGGGTGGGAAGCCACCTGCATTTACCCGGTTCAAATCCCAGAGCGGGATCCTGGAATGCTGCACCCGAGCCCCTCTGTCTTAAAACAAGGCGCTTCAATGATTAAGCCAGTCCTCTGCATTCGACCGGGAATCCAAACGCGCCCGGACGCACGACTCGTTCCCCCCCCCCGCCCCCAGGTCGGGAGGCGAAAACAAAATATTCTGCCAAGCAGGCGCACGCGGCACGTGTTCCGACCCCGCAAAGGGAGAGCTCGCAGGCAAAGGCCGCCGTGTGTTTGTTCCCGTTCACCGCTCCATCCTGCGCTCCGGCCGCCACCATCCCCGCCGCGCTCGCCGCTCCCTCCTGGGCCCAGACCTCGCCCGGGCGGCCGGCCCCAGGGCGCAGGGGCCCGGCAGCCCGCAGCCGAGGCCGCGGCCCGCACCCCGCGCCCCGCCGCAGGAGGATGGGGCTTGGGGCAGGACACGGGCACCCGGGCACCGCGGCGGCCGGGCCCCCACGAGCTGGACCCCGGGAGCCTAACCGCCGTGGCCCCCTCCCCGAGCGCGCCATTTCCAGGCCCCGGCCGTCCAGGGCGCCCGCCCCAGGCCTCCGCGGGCCCAAGCCTCCGGCCGCCCCGGGTGTGGACGCGGGGAGGTCGCCGCCCCGGGCCGCCGCCGCCCCGCCACCCTCCCCAGGCCTCCGCCCGGCCCCCGCGCCCGGCAGGGGCCCGCGCACGCCCGCCTCACCCTCTGCCGCCGCCGAAGCTGCTGTAGGCCCGATCGTCGTAGGTATCGAAGTCCGCCATTTGCCGTCTCCGCTCCGAGAGGAACCAGGGTGAGCGAGGAAGGACCCCGCAATATAACTCCCCCCCGCCCCGCCGCCGGGGCTGTCCGCCGCGCCGCCTGATCGCAAATCGTACGCACGCACGCACGCGCACGCGCGCGCGCACGTACGCCGCCGCGCCGCGCCCGGCCTGGGCCGACAGGCCGCTGCTGGCCCGGCGCGCTCTGCGGCCTACGTGGGACGGCGGCGCGTAGGCCGCGCGCGCGCGCATGGCCGGCCGCGCGGACCCATTGTGTGCTGGCCCGGAGGCTGCGCCCCGCCCTCCGGTGCGCGCCGGTGCCCCCCACACCCCCGGGAGCCTCCGGCAGCGGCTGCCCCTCCGCGTCCGCCGGCGCGGGTGCTGTCCCCGGCCCGCTGCGCTTTCGCACCTCTTCCGGGTAACCCCCCCGAGTCCGAGCCACCTTGGCTGGGCGGAGACCCCCACGGAGCGGGGCGCTTGCTGGGACGGCTCGAGGGCGGAGGGCCGGGGCTGGTGGTGGTGGGGGGCGTTGCACCCTCGCCGAGCCCTGGGAGGGATGTGGGCGTCGGGGCCCCTGGCTTTGGCCCGGTGCCTTTGACGTCTGCACCAGGCTGAAGCCATGGGCCAGCAACTCTGGTTCTCCCACGTGGGGCGCGAGGACCGTCTTTTAAAGATTTATTTATTTTAAAGGCAGAGATACGGAGAAAGAAGGGGAGAGAGAGACCCAAATGACTGCAATGGCCAAAGCCAGGAGCCTCCTCCAGGCTTCCCACGTGGGTAGCAGGGACCCAAGCACTTGGGCCATCCTCCATTGCCTTCCCAGATGTACCCCCAGGGAGCTGGATCGGAAGTGGAGCTACCGGGATTCGTACCGGTGACCACATGGGTTGCTGGTGCTGCAGGCCGGGGCTTAACTGAATTGAGACACTATGGGATGGAGCCAGAGTAGACCTGGCCTGTTAACCTCGGCTCCCCGTCTTACTGCTGGGTGACCTCAAGCAAGCTGTGGGGCCTCTTCAACAACTCGATTCTCTCTTCCACGGGACCCGGAGAGCTCCGATCTCTCAGTGCTGTGAAAACTGAAATAAGTGTTTGTAAAATTCCCAGCACGCCGGTCTGGAGCATCAGCAGGGTGCTGGCAGCCTTGTGGGGTGCGTGCATGGATCATTTCCAGATCTGCTCTACGGTCAAGGAGCCTCCTGGGTGGAGGGAGCGGGCTTTGAACTGTTAGCACCTGGCTAAGACACGGGCCAGGGGTTTCCTTTCTGCCTGCATGGTTCAAACTTGGCCCCTTCCTCCACATACCTGTCCCATCGCTCCGTGGGTGCATTGAATGAAAACCTCACTGTTTGTGCTCACACGTTTGTCGTCGGTCCGAAGTCACTGAGACCAGAGTTGCAGGTTTTTGGCACAGTGGGGAAGATGCCACTCAGCACACCTGCGACCGTATCGAATGCCCGGGTTCCAGCTCTAGCGCCAGCTCCCTGCTAATGCACACTCTGGGAGGCAGCAGGCGATGGCTCATGCGCTTGGGTCCCTGCTGCCCACGTCGGAGACCCGGATGAGTTCCAGGCCCTTGGCTTCTGCCTGGCCCAGTCCAGGCTGTTGCAGGCATTTGGGGGAGTCAGTAGATAAAAAGATTGCTCTCGCTCTCGCCCTCGCCCTCTCTCTCTCTCTCTGCCTTTGCAGTACAATGAAAATAAATAAACTAATTAAAATGCAGCTGTTACTGTTTTAGGTCCTTACTGTACATTTTATTGTTGTCTTACAGTGTACTAGTTACAGAAGGCTTTCGCTGTAGGACCGTATGTCGTGTGACAGTGGCACCAGGCTCACACACCTTGAGCTTTGTGTGGATGTCCTGAGATGTTGGCAGAGTGAAGTGGCCGTTGGACGCATTCTGTCATTAGGCTACATGTGACTGTTGTGTGACCTCAAGTGAGTTGCTCAGTCTCTCTGTTCTTTGCAGGATGGGAATAATGGTCACGGTGATACTCAGTTTCTACAATCATTTGAAATACACTGTGTTGAGATGAAGATCAACCATTTGCATTTTTTTAAAAAAGATAATTTATTTTAAGAAGTTACAGAGAGGCAGAGAGAGAGGGATCTTCCATCCGCTGGTTCACTTCCCAGGTGGCCACAATGGCCAGGGCTGGGCCAGACCAGAGCCAGGAGCCAGGAGCTTCTGGGTCTCCCACATGGGTGCAGGAGCCTAAGCACTCGGGCCATCTTCCACCGCTTTCCTCAGCCGTTAGCAGGGAGCTGGATCAGAGGAGGAGCAGCCAGGACTCAAACCGGCTTCCATATGGGTTGCTGGCCCCACAGGTGGAGGCTTAACTTTCCACACCACAACAGCGGCCCCATCAACTTAATATTTTATTTATGGGGCCGGGTTGTGGCACAGCAGGTTAAGACTTCATCTCTAGTGCCGGCATCTCCTATGGGTCCTGTATCAAGTCCCAGCTGCTCCACTTCTGATCCAGCTCCCTGCTATGCACCTGGGAAAGCAGATGGCCCAAGTCCTTGGGGTCCCCACATCCACGTGGGAGACCTGGATGCAGTTCCAGGTTCCTGGCTTCCGACTGGCCCAGCCCCAGCCGTTGTAGTCATTTGGGAGTGAACCAGCAGATAGAAGATGTCTCTCCCTTTCTTTCTGTAACTCTGCCTTTGAAATAAATAAATACATCTTAAAACATATTTATTCATTATTTATTTGAAAGAGTTACAGAAAGAGAGGCAGAGAGAGAGAGAAGTCTTCCATCTACTGGTTCACTCCTTCAAATGGCCACAACAGCGGAGCTGGGCTGAACTGAAGCCAGGAACCAGGAGCTTCTTCTAGGTCTCCCATGTGGGTGGAGGGGTCCAAGGGCTTGGGCCATCTTCTGTTGCTTTCCCGGGCCATAGCAGAGAGCTGAGTCGGAAGTGGAGGAACCGGGACTCAAACAGGTTCCCATATGGGATTCTGGCACTGCAGGCAGCGGCTTTACCTGCTACACCACAGTGCCGGTCCCAATGAAAAAACGATATTTTTAAAAAAACAATATTTTCTTCTTCTACTAACCTGCTTGCAGCTCCCACATTCTCCCCTCCCCTATGATTTTTTTTTAAATGTTTGTGTATTTCTTTGAAAGAGTGACCCAGAGCAAAACAGAGATCCTCCATTCACTGGCTCATTCCCCACATGCCTGAAACAGCTGGGGCTAGACCAGGAGAAGGCAAGAGCCAGGAACTCCATCTGGCTCTCCCGTGTGAGTGGCAGGGGCTTGAGTACTTAATGACAGTTCAAGTCCCAGCCGCTCCTCTTCCGATCCAGCTCTCTGCTACGGCCTGGGAGAGCAGTAGAAGATGGCCCAAGTTCTTGGGCCCCTGCACCCATGTGAGAGACCCTGGAGAAGCTCCTGGCTCCTGGCTTCAGATCGGCGCAGCTCCGGCCGTTGGGGAGTGAACCAGCAGATGCAAGACCCCTCTCTCTCTGCCTCTCCTCTCTCTGTGTTACTCTGACTTTCAAATAAATAAATAATTTAAAAAAATAAAATTATTTAATTTTCATGAGTTTTCATTTACGTTTCAGAAGCCACGTGTGGGCAGCCAGCGTCCACACTGGACAGCATCACCTGTGGCCTCGGCAGGCGTGGGCACCTACGTTCCAGCCCAGCCCTTGCTGGGAAGTCCGTGGTCTGGGTGGCGGTTAGGTTGTTAGCACGTGGGTTGGCCCGGGTGCCACTAGACCCACAATGCTGGACAGCTGGCCGGCTGGCACCAAGGCTGGGCCACAGGGAGAGCCCCAGGGCTCTGCATTCATTGATTGGGGGCACAGGGCACCCAGTTGAGAAGGATCAGGGACACTTGGAGTGATGGGACCCCAGAGGGCGTTTCAGCCTTAAGAAAGGCAGAGACAGACAGATGGACAGAGGCTCCATCCACTGGTTCACTCCCCGAACGCCTCAAGTGGCCAGGTCGAAGCCAGGAGCTGGGAACTTGATCCAGGCCTCCCAGGCAGGGGGCAGGGATCTGAGGGTTTGAGCCATCATCATCATCCCTCCCACAGTGCGCATGTGCAGGAAACTGGACCTGGGAGCATAGCCGGGACTCTGCTATGGAATGAGAGTATCCTTACTGGCTTCTTAGCTTCTGTCTCACAAAGTCTATTTGTAACGCAAGCTCTGTGCACCCTGTGCAGGATTCCAAAGTCATGCGTGGGTTTATGGGAAAATGCCGGTTACCTCCACATGCTGGGCCCCAGGCCACCACATCCCTCTTGCCAAGGGCGGTGACCACCACTGGTGTCTGGAAGGCCACGTGATTCCTGCAGTTGTTCCCTGCGGGGGGGGGGGGGGGGGGGCTGCCTGGGGGGATCTCAGCGGGAGGGCCATCACAGGGCTGCTGCAGCGAGGGGCCCCGCCCCATGCTGTTGGCCGAAATCATCAGAGCATTTGGAAACAGGCGGTCAGGAGGTCTGAGCGGACTGCTCTGATGTGGGTGAGCGGGGAGTCAAATCCCACCACCTCCCCTGCCGATTCAACATGGCTGAAGACTCGGCACACCCACTCCCCAAGGTGCAGCTAAGCCTCGCTTCCCATCATGCACCGGACACCGTGTGACACCTTCCTGCAGACTAAGTCGTGTGCTGCTCGCCCACCTCAAGCCCTGCCCATTGAGCACCACCCCTTATCTTACAGAAGGGACGATCCCGGCCGGGGTGGGCACCACGTCTGAGTGTGCACTGTCTCTTCGCCTTTCAATAAGTCCTGCTTTTCTGCTCACCTCTCTGAATCACCCAATTATACCCCTACGCATGAGAGGGCGGGGGGAGTTCATTGTCATCCTGGAGGGTTCATTTTGTTCACAGAGCGAACTCAGGGGCCCCAGAAGTGAGGTTGGCCATGCTACTGACCAACTACCAACTACCAGCCTCCCGATGGCTCCAGCCTGGGGACTGGGATTTATTCCCGGCCAGTGTCTCCATAAATGCCTGCCATCGCATGGGTGACGCGCTTCAGGCTGGGACACCCCTTGGATAAGGGGGTCACAGTATATGAGGCAGGATGTTGGACGTTAGCCTATGTGTACGAGAGAGGCTGGAGTTCCGAAACATGGGACTTTTGTGGTTGAATGAGGGAAGAGAAGTAGAAACGAGCCTTGGAAGCAGACCAGCGTCTGCACCGGGGAGTCTGGCCATGTCCCACGACCATGTTGGGTGGGCCCCAGCCATCTCCTGGGGGGCAGCTTGGGAAACTTCCCTGCCTTGCACCAGGGAAGGCTTTTAATCTCGGTTACATGGTGCTGATAGGCTCCAGGGAGGAATGGCGCTAATTCCAGGCCTGGAAAGCCCTCCGCCCAGTAAGATCCCGGAGAGGGAGCAGACAGAAGAAAAAGGTGGGTCCCCCCCTGTCTGTGGACACTCTGCTCTGAATGTCAACTGGGCTCTCAGTCCCTCACGGAGGGTCCCCGTGGACCACCACGGCAGGTGGGGTCTCCACTGTGCTGACTGCTCCTCTCTGTCTGCCCTGAGAGGCCGTCCTTGTACCAGGGCGAGGACCTGTGATCCGGCCAGCCCTGGGCACATCAGGAGACTGGTAACTGTGGGGAGGGGCTGGCTGGTGGGGGGATAGGACGGGGGAGGGGGCACCTGGGAGAGTCGTGGAGGGTAGAGGTGGTTCTGTAGAGACACATCAGGAAGTGTCGGCTCTGAAGTCAACTCCCGTTCATGGATTATTTTTTTTTATAGGCAGAGTGGACAGTGAGAGAGAGACAGAAAGGTCTTCCTTTGCCGTTGGTTCACCCTCCAATGGCCGCCGCGGCCGTTGCGCTGCCACCGGCGCACCGCACTGATCCGATGGCAGGAGCCAGGTATTTCTCCTGGTTTCCCATGGGGTGCAGGGCCCAAGCACCTGGGCCATCCTCCACTGCACTCCCTGGCCACAGCAGAGAGCTGGCCTGGAAGAGGGGCAACCGGGACAGAATCCGGCGCCCCGATTGGGACTAGAACCCGGTGTGCCGGCGCTGCAAGGCAGAGGATTAGCCTAGTGAGCCGCGGCGCTGGTCCCGTTCATGGATTATTGTATCCGATGCAGCAAGGCTTAGAATGCTATTTCTGTTCTTAAAAATGGAGCTGGCGTTGTGACGTCACCTGTGACACCAGCATCCCATATGGGTGCTGATTGGAGCCCCAGCTGCTCCACTTCCAATCCAGCTCCCCTCTAATGCACCTGGGGAAAGCAAGGGAAGATGGCCCAAGTGCTTGGACCTTTGCCATTCGTATGGGAGACCCAGATGTAGCTCCTGGCTCCTGGCTTAGGCCTGGCCCATTGCAGCCACTTGGAGAGTGAACCACTGAATGGAAGATCTCTGTAACTCATTCAAGTAAATGAATATATCTTTAATAATAAAAAATGTACTTGACGAGCAGTGCTGGTTCACTCCTCAAACGCCTAAGGTGGATGGGTTGCGGCAGGCGAGGCCATGCAGAAGGCAGGAGCCTGGGGTCTCGTTCTGGAAGAACCCAACCACCTGAGGCATCACTGCTGCCTCCCAGGGTCTGCTTTAGCCGGCAGCTGGCATTGGGAGCAAAGCCAGGACATGGACCCACACACTGCAGTATCGGACATCCTAACAGGTGTGTAACCCCTCCGCTAAACACCTACCCTTGATCCAATGGGATTGAGATCAAAGTTGTCAAACAACAAAGCAGTTTAGAGGTCTTGGTTGGTTTTGTGATTCTAGGACCAGGCAGCACTTAATTCCCTAAAACAAAATGAGCATTCTAATGGGCTGAGAAGAAGAGGTTGGTTTTAGAAGTAGATAGGTTGATGCAGAAACAAAGGGTGATCGGGCATTTCAAAGGGACATTCCTTGTAAGGGGGACGGGGACAGCAATAGAACAATATTGATGGGGCTGTCATAAGCCTCTGCTTGAGACTCTGGCATCCCATACGGGAGCTTGTTCAAACCCAGGTGCTCTGCTTCTGATCCAGCTCCCTGCTGATGCACCTGGGAAAGCAGCAGCACATGGCCCAAGTACTCAGGCACCTGCTACACCACAGCACCAGCCAGCCCTAAAAAAAAAAAAAAAAAAAAAAAAAAAAAAAAAAAAAAAAAAATCCAACAACAACAACAACAACAAAAAACTTGTGCCAAGACAAACTCACCTTTCTTTAATTTATTTGAGAGGCAGAGAGACGGAGATGGTCCATTTGCTGGTTCAACTCCCCAGATACCCCCAACAATGGAGGCTGGGCCAGGCTGAAGCCAGGAGGAACTGGCAATTCCATCCGGGTCTCCCAGCAGGAGGCAAGGACCCAAGCACTTGAGCCATCTAGGGCGGGCACTAGTAGGAACCTAGCATCAGGAGTGGAGCTGGGACTTGAACCCAGGCACTCTGATGTGAGATGCAGACATCCCAATGCCCTAATTGTGGTGCCCAACAACCCACAATCCCATTTCCCATTGTCCCAGTACCCAGGCATTTGTATTTGAATTGTGCTTGCTTTTCCCATTGGACGGGCTCAGAGGTTGCCAAAATGAGCCACGTTAAACAGCAACTGTCCAGGGTGATACAAAATCCAGCAAATTCATATAAAAGGTGCCCCAGTGGAATAATCTCTGAACTTTTTTTTTCTTTTCTTAAACATTTCTTTCTAGCCAAAAGCTAGGACCAAAAAGCCGGGCAGGATTGAAGGGGGTTGAGAGTGGAGGATTGTGAAAGGCTCTGAACTCAAGGCTGGGAGAGGACCGAACAGAGCACAGGGCTGGGCTGCAGGAGGATCCTGGTGCCCAACCCCCACTTTAAGTCTTTCTTTCTGGTGGCTGGCATTGTGGTGCAGCAGGTTAAGCTGCTGCCCGCGGCACTGGCATCCCATATGAGCACGGACTCCAGTCCCAGCTGCTCCACTTCTGATCCAGCTCCCTGCTAATACACCTGGGAAAGCAGCAGAAGATGATCCAAAAGCTTGGGCCCCTACACCTACGTGGGAGACCCGGATGGAGCTGCAGCCACCTGGGGCGTGAACCAACAGATGCAAGATCTCTCTGGCTCTCCTCTCTCTGTGACTCTGCCTTTCAAATAAATAAGTTCTTTAAAAAAAAAAAAAAGTTGCTTTTTGGCACTGGACTTCTGCTCTGGTAGCTCAAGTTCCCCCCTCCAAGGGGAAAGTTCACACATTGGTGTGAAGAGGGCGCCAGGGAGTTGGGGCAAAACTGGGAGTGTGCACGGAGATGATCAGAAACAGCAAGGGGCTGCCTGGAGGTGCAGCCCCTCCCCAGGGTCCTTCAGGGGCCATCGCTGTCAACCCAGACGCAGAAACTGGGGAAGCAAAAAAGACTTTAGCTGGGGTCTTAGGAATTGCAGTGCGTGAGCCGCAGTTAGATGGTCTCGGATTCAGTGTTCGCAGAGGGCGCGAAGAGTGGGAGCGTCCACAGGCCACTGGATGTTGAGGAAGAGGGGCTGGGACCCATAGAAGATAAAGACGGTATACAGAGAACAGAAGCAAAGCAAGAGTGAGACCACCTTCGATCGGTATCTTGAGGCAGCAGGTGCAATGCGAGTGTCAAGTCGCCTGGTCGTGCGAGATGCCCTTAGCCAATGGGTGGGGCGGAGGTGGCAAAGTCCAGGCCGCATCGCCGCCGCCTGCCCCTGGCGCTTCCGCAGAGCTCTCTCGCTGTTGCCTACCTTTAATTTGCAAATTCCTGAGCTGCCGCGGACAGGGGCTGGAGTGATGGCCATCTGTATTTAGAAAACCTGGTGACTCTGGGGCTGCAGGTCTCGCCGCATTCGGTCTCGGAAGTCATCGTCTGGTGCTGCGCCCCTGGCCAGCCCCATTCCCATCCTGCGTCCCCCGTCTCCCACGAGGGTGCTGGCCTCCCACTGGCCTTCTCCTACTCCCCAGTCCTTTGTCACCTGCCATTGTACGCGCTGCCCCCAATTCCCAAAATACCCTTCTCCCTTTCCCGTCCATTGGCTGACGAGGTAAAGGTCTCGCTGCGCGTGGATCATCTTTGCTGCCGTGTGGTGTGCACCGGAATCTCTCCTACACCCGGGAGAGGCCAGCCTTCCCGGCGCAGCAAGCAACCTGCTGCCCCACGGATCACCCTCAGTTAACCAGATGGCTGGTTCTTCCCAGCAAAATGTGCGCGACTACCCAAGGAGGCCGCTGATTGGGCCTCCTTGGGTCACGTGGGCACTGCCTGCACCAATCAGCGCGCCCAGGGGGCGGACACTGGAATCTCCCACGCCTGGGTCCTGTAATATACTACATGCTGATTAGTATATTACATGATCGGATGGAATAGGAGAGCTGGCAGTTTCCCAAGAGAAACAGATTCTAGGAAGATAA